CCCGGCCCTTATTCACCGGTGTACGAACGGATCAATGAATTATATGATGCGTGTCCGATAGCAACCGAGAATAAGCATGCATGTAGAGTTGACTGTTCTTCCGTAGAACTTTGTTTTGTTCAAACTCCCGGTAGAACCGCGCGTCCCACAAACATATGGTACGTAGTGTGTAGGAAAGATCGAAGCATCAAGAAAAAACATGCAGCATTAATTCCTGAAATTTCAACGATCCTACTAACACGATCAGTCCGTAATTTACTCGGAAATTTTGAATAGTTAAAATGTGCGGGGCGGAAGTGCTTTTTTTCTAGTTTCGTCAATTTTAGACACTTAAAATTGTCACTCACTGTGGTGGTTTGAGCGAAGGAAGATCGGTCGTTCAATGATGCTGTTAAGTCGTGTAACCAAGCCAAGGTGATGAACAAGCACATGTTTAAGACGTGCGTTAAACGGGCCTGGATTTCAGTTCCGTTCTTGGGTAACACACACGATTAGAGCGGCAACAACCACGACGACAACAGTTCTCCGACACCACCACCTTTTCGCCGCACAGAAACGGCCCAGAGGTGCAGTCTGAACTATGCAATAAGGTCTGGTTTGAAATGAAGTGCGCGATTGTGTGCATTCTGGTGTCGTAAACACCAAACTATTTTCACCCTTTGTTTCACCCAACGCATTCACAGCCCGGATAAACACGGGAGTTAGACATGGGAATTGGTTTCGTTACGGGTAAATTACTTGGAATACTTCTTTCAAATGCGTCTACGAATGCTGGTGTGTTTTGAGAATTGATTAACTTACTGTGTGTATCACGCGAGAATTATCAGCCGTCATTCGAAAAACCGTTTCACTGTCAGATCTCGCGCACCATTGCCAGTTTCAAGGTCAGGTTGATACAGTTACCGCCCAGCAACCCCAATCTCAGCGAAGATAAACATATGTTTTCGGCGCCCTCAAAAAAAAAATAACTTGACATACTCACATTCATTCTCTTCCCTGGATGACATAACGAAAGGTGCAATGGAAAGCAAAGTTTATATTTCAAACTGGTTGAAATTCATCTCTAAACGGTTGAATAGAGTATTAAACAACTAACGAGAACATACGGACTATGGAGGTACGTGCAGCTAATCCTGAGCGCATTAAATTTTTATCTCACGGCTGACCATAACAGTGAGAAATAGTTGATTTCTTTCTTTTTACTGAACACCGTTTGTCTTTTCTGACGGCGGGGGGAACCACAATTCTAGAATCGGTGGTAAGGCAAGATCATCAAAAATACCAGGAATTTCCAGCTTCGTTAGTTTTTACGTTTGCGATACCAAATGCATAACGAAATTCGAGATTTATAGTAGGAATAGTAGGCAGTCAAAACGATCCAGAAAGGGATGTGCACAGTCTCAAGTCCTTTCATCGCGTTGTTTATAGCATTTCAATTTTTGCCGAGGCATATGACAAGAACGAATCGAAAAAAAAATTGCGTAACGAAGTCAATTTTTACATTCTATCGTTTGATTTTACATTCTTTCAGTTCGCATNAGTTCGCATCCAGAAGGCTCGGTTGGCATTTGCCAACTTGAGACATCGATGGAGCCGTCGCGACATCCGGTTGTATGTGAAGGGTCGAGTGTACGTTGCGGCGCAGAAACTTGGCCATTAAGAAAAAGGACAAATATAGACTGTTGGTGTTTGAACACTCTCTCTGCGTAGCAGTGCACGACTCTGGTGGGGCAGCTGGGCAAGGTAAGACGCAGAGTGTGACGTAAATGCGGTCGCCCACCAGAACAAATGGTCGACCTCCTTTGATTACGTCTGTTGGGGCATGTGTTACGTATGCCACCAGATAGGTTGTCATGACGAGTGATGTTTCCCGAGGCAGGTAGTGGGTGGAAAACAACCAAGGGTTATCAACCTAACACCTGGCACGAGGGTATGAAACCCCTAACCAGGGGACTGGGTTACATAGGTCCCGTTAGGCTCCCTGGATGGGGACCTCGGGATGGTCGTAACCGATGTTTAGAGACACAGTGGCATGGCTGAGTAGCGTAAACAGTGGCGTTCGTGCATCTTCTCAATTTCTTTGCAACATTAGTCCAATTTTCTCGTTCGTTTCTACTTTCAACCTTCCTGTCTTTTTCCTACGGTTCACGCAAATGGGGATCCAAGAGACAGGAACCAAGACTGCCGCACGAAGGTGCATGGTTAACAGTTGTACAAACTGAAACTGAGTTGAAGTTCACTTCCTTTCATTGAATACACAATGATAAAACTTTCAGGAAAAGCAAAGCGGTCAATCAAAGGAATGCCAAACAACACAGAGTGGGGAAAGTCAGGCGGTAGGGGTGGTAATAAGTTGGCGACGCTATCACCGGCCTGCAACTACCGTGAGGACAATAAACTACCCCCAGCCCCGTCCACCGGATTTCTTTTCAATGGAATCGGTGAATCGAGAAAATCAATAAGGATCTGGATCATACTTACTGGCGGTGGTGGTGTCGGAAGGCGGATTTCCACAACAATATCTTCGGTGGAATCGACCGATTTCGGCTCCGACGATTTCGGATAGGAGACCACAATGGCGTGGGATTCGGTTCGATGCTCATGATGTGTCTTTTTCGTATCCGCGTTGACGGCCGAGTGTGGCGGCCGAACATGTGCTGCAGCAGATGATGCACGGAAGGGTGACTGATCCGCGTGATGCACCGCAGGGGTCGCTTTAAATGAGAGAGAGAAACAACAACAGAAAAGCAGGGAGTTTGTGGTACACTGCAAGCAGCAGTCGATTTCCACGAGAAGGCTCGCGGATATTGTGCGCGAATGGATTAGATGCCAGTATGTGAAATGAATGTGGGTTCATCTGTGGAAAATAGGGTACTGTATACTATAGAAGCTGACAAGCTCAGTGTGTATGGATCGCAGCATTAGTTCGCGGAGGTGGCAGAGTGGTTAGGTCAACAACTTGTGACCTGCGACAGACCATATAGCGTTACATATCCACAAAACAGTGCTGGGTAGAGGAGACTTGTTTATGACGAACAACGGTAAGAGGATCGATAAATTGGTGTAAATATCACAAAACATCTCAGTTGGAACAGGTCAGCATAATTCATAGAAGTAGGCAGGATAATTAATAGAAGGGTACAACGGTAGACGCGCATTGTCTGTAGTAACAATTTCGAACATATTGAGTCGCTCTAGGAGGTTATGTGCATTTTTGACCGTCGTGAGAAAGAAACCACCAACGGCATCCTTCCGTGCCACGAACCATATTACCCATAGACGTGTTTAACTTAACAAAATCAGGAAGACTACCTGTCAAACGTGTAGATAGGGATAATGTATATTTTTCACACATCAGAATCTAGACTGTGTACCAAACAAACCATGGTACAAGACTGTTAATGAAAAAGAAAGACGCTCCATGATTTGCATGTGGGCGGAATACTGCCAAGTTGTCCAGGCCAAGGTAGGTGAATTCTCTAGGGGAATCAACAACCGGAGCCTCCGGCTAGCCAAAGCCTGACCCGTAAGGCAGCGAGGCGGTGTGAAAACCGCAATCCATTGGGGGCCAGTGTCCACTTTATCGGATCATACGCCCTTCGGACGGGATAAAACGTCCAAGGTGCCCAATACACCTCGATGCCCAATCGAGTTGGTGACCATTGCCACAACCGGGAAGATGTGTGTAGTTCGTACCGCTCTTCTTGGTTGGTTTGGAATCAGGGCTTTTGGCCAACTCCCATAGGTGACCTATCAGTAGCCGCCCAAACCGATTATAGCCCCAGATGTCGATTTTTTGTCCTCTCACTTTGGCAGGAAATCACCTCCGCCACGAGAACGCAGAGAGCGGAGGTTCCTCAGCACAGGCTATTCGAGATGCATCGTCATATAGGTGTATTTCGCACGGTGCAAAAGAAAGGAGGATAAACCAAAACCATGGACACCCACCCGCGACCATACTGAGGCTTTGAGGCAGTGATATAGAGCTGTACAAACAAAACCAAATATAGTCGCTGTATTGTACATAACACGTAAAAATACTGCGCCGTAATGCAAGTCCGAACTGTGTACAGAGCCCAGGTAGGAAAATAGCGGTCTTGTGCCTAAGGCAAACTCGGTGTGATCGGTATTGGAACAATCTGGTATGCAGTGGTCAACAACCGTTAACTGCGCCAACACATAAGCACCATCAAAAGCACCCATTCTATACCTTCTTGATATCCAATTGATATTCAAAACATGGAGCTAATCAGAAACAAAAGAAACCGTTTTACGACAACTGAATCCATCGCCAGATACAGTCGGAATAGATGTATGTTAAATGGGGTATATGCACAGACCATGTAACGCCAGATTAATATTTATCCACATTGATAAAAACATTCCAGATTGAGTAACGATGACTTTTATGAATTAAAGCTGACTGCAACGTGTTCCGTGCATGTCTAAACGAACATTTGTAACTCTAATCCGTTTGTTAATATTCTCTTTCCGGAAATGGAGGTGATGTCGGGGCCTACAATTGACTGACACGTTTGTCATGCATGCCCGTGACCGGATTGATTGTTTGATTGATTAACAGGTACTGTCAATTAGCACACACACATACACACACACACACGTACTCACATCATGTGGACTGAATCTGTTACAATATCGATCGGCTCCAGCCAATCGGATAGTAGTTTTGAACTGTCCACGCTGTTTGATTCGTTGACTGTTTGAATGCTTGCGCGACCACATACGGATGTTGCGTGACGCTTGAGTCAGTTGTCGGCCTGCCTGCCTGCCTACCTTCCTACGTGTTGCCCACTTCCACCTGCTCACCAGACTACGGATCTTTACAACAAACGTACTACTTAATTCATCGCGTGCCAGTTTACCAACTTAATTGGGACACAACAATGACACATCCGGTTATAGGTCTTTAGCAGTTTTAGACAATTACAGAGCTTTTATTGCATACCATTTTGTGACAAACAGCCGGAGTGGCTGGTTACCCTTCCCTCGCACCTCACGAACTGCTCGTACAAGACCAAGCTTCTCAAAACAGCCTCTGCTGGAGAAGCTCTACTCACTAGCTTCACGTGGCGGTATTTTCCTACCAAAGTGAGAGGACAAAAAGCCAATGTCCATGGCTATAACAGGATAGGTGATTCACTGGCAGTTGACCTAGGGAAGGTGGCTAAAAACGCTAATTCCAGATCAACCGCACTACAGACAACGTTAGGAGAAATAAGGCAGAAAGAGAATGATAATGCAATACACCAATGACGGAAATTGGGAGTGTACGACAATTAGAAGCGCTGGGAGGATGAACATGAGCAACTGACAGGTTTAATCTAGCAGTCTTACGCAAGCCTCCAACTTCCTCCCACAAACCTACCCGTGTACAGTTGCGAAGTAATCTACGATTTCTTTAAACTGATTAGTTGTACTTAACTTAGCGTGATTCTTGTGGTGGTGGTGGTGGTGAGGGTTACTAAATCATTCTCGTTTTTTATTACACACTTTCGTGTGATGAACAGCAGACCGGGAAAGCCCCATAGTCACGAGGACCTGCTGTTCAGTGATGAAAACCGGTGACCTAAGCCCCGGGACTTGGAGTGGAGAACCACATCAGGCCCCGATAGGTTAGGTGTGATATTGAACCGGACGACAGCACAGCTGCCTACCAACAAAGTTGGGTGGCGGGGCTCGAACCTCGGACCATAGGGTCCGAAGCACGCCTCTGACAGCAACTAAACCATTGCGCCACCAACACCCTGGAGGGTGTGTTCGAATACCATCAGCAACGCCGGACCTGTGTTATATGGTGTACCTCTGATCGGCTGATTCCTCTTCCTTGGAATCGTCCCATTGCATATTCCATTAAAGTAACATAAAAGATAACGACTGATTGACGATCAACAAGTGCACCATCTTTGGTTTGCGTAAGTATAAATCATGTGACGAATGCTAGTGGAACTCCGGAGACCCGATGGAGACAATAAATATGCTGATATTTCGCGCCATGCCGTGTTATACACAGTCCCTAATGGACAATGACCAACCAGTGATTATGGTGGTTTGCAGAGTACTTTAAATTTCCCACGTTCCGTTTTAAACATTGCCTCGTGGACGTTTTTCTTCTTGATCAAATAGTTGACTGAACTATCGGGCTGCTTTAACAGACAGGCAAACAGTACGGATTTCTAACTTCTAGAGACCAGGGTGCACGATATCAGACTCAACACAATTATTATGGCTGGTGATTCTCTCTCGTGTGCGCGTGCTCTGCATGATGCGCGTCGAACAATGGAGTAAAACGGCAAAAAAGAGAGAGGATGACTGAGAGAGAAGCTGTGTGATAGACGTAAGGTGATGTGAAAATTGTTAAAAAACCTAGCGCACAGCCATTCAGATTTTTCTAACGGATTAAATCAGAACCATTTCATCATGGGGATCATTATCAAACCCAAATCTCTCAAAGGTCGCAATTGGGCTGAATAGATGAGCCAAATTGGAATCCAATCGAATTATCGCGAGAAGTGTGATTTTCACGAACGAACCGTAGAGCGAAAGAGACCATTTTCTCGAGAAGGGATGTAGCATTTTGTCGTTTTATCCCACGGGGATC